TCCAAATGTTAAATGCAATTCACATCCAGAATGTATCATCATTTGCATAGAGATTCTATTAAAACTGGGACTGTTTTGTGTATATGGCTACATAAAAATCTCAGGCATGTCAGTAGGAAATAAATCATAACAGACTGGTGGCAACAGCATTCAATTGGTTAGAGAAAATTACTTCTATTTTACTGATGACAATTTCTATTAATAAACAGAGATGCTTTATTGTCTATGTCATCATCAAAAGAGCCCATAAAAAACTCTCTCAAGTTACACCCACCACCAATGTTACATAACAGCCCTTGGCTGATGTTTTGGGGACACATTCAAAAACCACTACCACTACCATCATCAAACAAGGATACATGCCCAACTCCTTTAAAACCGTAGGAATTGAGCAGGTGGAACAGGAAGCACAGAGGAGGGAGGAAGGGGTGAGAAGCTCAGGATGAACACTCAGCTGAGCATGTCTTCGGGACACTCACACTGATCCTGGAAATTTTTGGAGACTCAAATCGACTTCAATGTCCAGTTCACAGGTAATTCCCAGCAAGCCTCTCCCTGTCCTGTTCGAGCCTATACCTACACACTGAAGAACAGATTCCAGATCTCTATCATATCTTTGATAAGAAAAGGACACATGTAACTTGGAAACAGTCACTCTCCTGTGGATTGGATATCAGAATATAATAGCTTTAAGCAAAAAAGATCTGCAAAGAACAATTTGATCTTCACATTTAACTCTCTAATAAGGAATTTTGCTCATTTGCTCCAAACAGAGCAAGAAAGTGTAGCAAATGCTCTAAACAAGGGTTCACATGGAGAAGGGCAGAGTATGAAGCCCAAATATGCCAGTTTGACATAAGAATTATTATGTGCTGAAGGCAACTCACAAAAGCAGACACAAGAAACACCCTCCCCTTTCCCTCTTTCTATCAGGATGGGCAGGATGGCTCCTAATCTCAAGAGACAACTTTCCATATGGACCCAGGGATGGCATCAGAGAAATCCACACAACCACCTTACTAACCAGCCTTTATCTCCCATTAGTTTATCCTGTCTATTTACCTTCCCATAATTTGCCATCCAGTTGTGTTCCTTCTCTATTGTTCTTTTGTTAAGATGCTTCATAAGCCTAGGTTCTAACCAATGATTGTCGTGATTGTCGAGAGCCACTCATGGGTTGTGTGTGTGTGTGAGCTATGTGTATTTGAGTGTATGAGGGACTAGACTGGCATTATGCGCTTCTTGGGCTGTGCAACACATGACACCTGTGTGCCTTTCCTCTGGCTCTGCCTGTGGTCCCACACAGCACCTGAGATGGGTGTGGCTTCCCAAGATGTCAATCAACCTGCTGACCACAAGGCATCACCAAGACTCCATCCTTGGAAACCCAAGCCCTTGCCTTATTTGGGTGGAACTTTCTCGAATGTCTTTCCCCTAAATAAAAACTGGGGTTCGGGGTACGCTCACTATCTTGTTCCTTGCAGCGCTGGAGCTGACCCTTGGGGTCACCGAACTGTCCTGTCTTAGAAACTTATGTTTGTGAGATGCGTGGTTTCTTCACCATTTTCGTAGTTATGGATACAGCCACCTCCTTTTAACCCAGTTCATATTGCCAGACTGGCCAGCTGGTGATAGGTGATGCATATATTAACAAACCTCTCTTTACTTTTATTAATCTGTCTTTTGTCAGTCTAATTAGTAGGGTTTCAGCCAATGAACATAAAATGTATAGAAAGAAAAAAATTTTTTTTTCTCTTATGGCAGTTACTAGACAGAGGAAGGTGTGGTTACCTGCACTTGTGTCCAATATTGAAGGAAAGAGGAGTGAGGACCAATACATGAAACACAAAGAGGTCCACATGGCTGAACCCGAGGGTCCTCAATCCTCAAATCAGCAAGAGACCCCTATTAACATGGATGGTGGCATTGAGGCAAAAGACATTCTGATAGGCAGAGTTTATATCTGGACTGGCCTGCTATCTTTGACTAATTCTATATTAAATGAGTCGTATGATGATCTTATAGTCCTCATTGGGGTTCTGATACACACTGCAACAAGGTCTTATGGGCATCCTTTAATTCCTGGGAGTCAGCACATGGTCCCACATCCTGATGTCTGTCATGGATTCTTTAAGCCCTGGTGCTTACTCTTCCCTGGATGCATACACTGTGAGCATATTCTTTCTGTTCCAGCAGATTTTGTTTGCCTTGAACAGACATTCTTGTCCACACATTTCTCCAGCTCCAGAGGAAAGGCTGCCACATTCAAGAGGCCAATGGATGCCACCTTTATCAACACTGTGCAGAGGAAAACACTACTCACAGTTTTAAACTCTCTTTACTCAATAATCAACACTGGCTTGGTAGCTATCAACCACGGTCATTGACTTTCAGAACCTACCCAATGTCATGCATTACCTCAAGTCTTTTTATCTTTCACCAAATTCTAATTGCTTATGTGATGAATAATATTTTTTTTGCACTGAGTGGAGCGTTTGCTCCCCACCTTCAAAGAACTATGGCTCCTAACTCACAAAATAGTGTTTAAGGATCTAACTAAAGCCAGAGCTAAGCTAGTGATGAACTTGACATCTAATTCTATAAATTATCCCACACTCCTATTTTGAAGACATCAACTATCTCTTTCCCTTCCTCTCTATTGCTAGATGGGTATTTAAAGGTTTCGATTTTTTTCAAGGCCAATATTTCACAGAGAATTACCAAATGTTTATCACCGCACTAGAAGAAGATGCTGGGTGATTCAAGGGCTTCTTCTTGGCCGGGTGATTTATTCCATATACCAGTCTCATAGTATTTGCCCAAGGAAGATTCAGGGTAGTATATATCATAGAAATTTTAACATAGAAATTTTAACTCCTGACGCACTGAAGTAAACATATTTAAACCCAGTATGGTTGTGCTATCATCAATTCAGAAATGTCTCCAGGACTTTGTATGTCCATTTCAATCTACAAAGGAGGCACAAGCTCAACTCTCTGCTTCCTTACTAATTCCAGGTCTTCAAAGAAAGCTTTTCTTCTCTGGGATGGATTTTATGACAGTCTCTATATTATCCATATAAATGAAGAGATTTCCCCTACTCTCCACTCTCAAACTGGTCATAAATCGAGTTGATAAGTTCTCCCTTTGAACACTATACTATAAATACATTTTCTTAGAGAATCATCCATTTTGTATTATAGATCATATGCTCATCGAGTAATGTGTGTATGACGTCAATACATACACCCAGGGAAGGGATGAACACACAAGGCTTGATGGGTCTCCCCTTTCCATGTTCTCTCTCTCATACACAACCCCTTGAGGGTAGAAAGCACATTTTATTTATCTTTCTAATTTAGTGCTTTTAACAGTGACTGGGACTGTAAATAAATGTTGCTGAATAAATAAAAGTCGAATTTTCTCAAGGTTAACACTGAAAGTCATTTTGTTTTTTCATGAATTCCTTCTCTGGAGATAAACGTAATTTAAACTCATATGCTGTGAATTATGTAGGAGCCAGTTATCACTATTCAAGTCGTCCAGAAAGGAAAAGGGAGGAAGATTTATGTACTCAGACTTTCAATTTGGCCATTGAGAACCAAGTTGGAGAAACTGGATTTCAAGACTGACAATTCTGTCCTCATCCCTTGGCTCTTGTGGCTCACCTGAGGGTCTCATACTCTGTATGTCATGAACTTCCTTTAGGACCATGTGCCTTGGATTGAGAAAGAACATAAACTCCATGCAATGGAAGGGGGAATTGATTTCTTCTTTTGCTTTCAGGTAATGACCACCTGCATGGTTCCCTCTGTTTTCTAGGTTTGTCAGGGAACAATACACTTTAGGGATTGTGAGAGACCAGGAAGGATACCCCAGCTTTTATGCAGTGTGTAAGCAAATGGCTTTCTTCTCTGTGCTCCATTTCCCCCTCTATGAAGAAAAAAAGCATAATATTTAACATCATCACCAAGCTATTGTGAGGGTTAATTAGATTTAATGGGGGAAGGGAGGAGAGTTGATTAGGTACCATTCAGATTCAAAGTGTCATTATTTTGTGACTAAAAATAACCCTGATTTAGGAATAAAATTAATTTGGAAGCTCAATCTTTGGTAATCATCTTCCTACACTAAAAAAAAAAAAAAAAAAAAAAAAAAAGCCAGAGTTTCTAATCAAAATGCCACTCTAAGCAAATCCAAGGAAGGAAAAATGGAGATCTGTGAATTTCCATTCACCTTTGAAGTAATATCCTACACAGTTCAACTCTTTCTTTTTTGTTTCTTTCCTCTTCCTTTCTATGAATACAGTATATGTTGAAAGGTTAGTTTGTGGCTGGAGAAATGTAAGCAAACACAACATTTTGAACCAACATTATTTTCTTTCTTTTGTGTGTTAACATTTGTGAAAGCCTTTACCCCTTTACAGAATCAAAAATCAATATTTTGTGGTAAAATAACTTTTTATAAATTCCATTTATATGTTTATTCAAGACATAATTTGCCAATTTAAAAGATTCTTGGTATTTCTCCAATTAGAAAAAAAAAAATTCCTAGATATTTAAAGCTAAGGCCGGTGGGAGGGAGAATCACCAAAATAGTAATCACTAAAATTAATATGATAGACTAAATACCTAACTGTGAAAATCCTCATGAGAAACTGAAGTTAGTACCTGAGAAAAATCTAGGTTGCTGACTAGATCTTACTAAAGAAAGAAAACGTTCTTTTTAAAGGTAACAATTGGATAGTCCTGGGAAATGAAGTCATATCTGTTAGGAAAAAATACTGCACTCAAAGAGTTTTTGCTATGTGAAGAGTTTGGGCTAGAAAGGAATTGTATCAATGTTTATTTATGTCTTTTCAGATGAAAGGCATACTATACCCTTCAACTGGTAGCAATGTATTGTCTAGAACGTCAGGAATCATCTTCTTGACTTTAACACCATCCTATTAAAACTCCTCCTAGGACTTAACAAATGGATAAGCTAGACTGCATACTCACCAAGCAAACTTCTGATTATTCATTCGATTTCCCCGGACCCTTGAGACTGGGGACGGATGTACCCTGTGGGAAAATAAGAATAATACACTCACTGAAAATGTACATTACTGATTGCAATTGGGGGGGAAAAAAACACACCACATCTATTTTTATAAATAATCTCTTCTAGGTTTGCTTCATACACTATCCTGTAGAATTTGCTAGTAAATGGATGCAAATAAATTCCTGGGCCTGAAGACCTAAAGGCATTCTTTCCCTTTTTACGGATCCCAAATAATAAGGGCTTGTCACAATGTTCACTGGGAAGCTCCCAAAGTGGGTCCATCAAATTTTAATGAACTCAGGTACTCATTCATTCCAAAACAGTCAACTGAAAATCTAATCCTGGCCAGGTGTAAGAGTGGGTAGACTTTAGTGGGTGCCATGCTGGGCACAGTGGTGCATGCCTGTAATCCCAGTGACTTGGGAGTCTGAAGCAGAAGGATCACAAGTTCAAAGCTCAACAATTTACTGAGGCCCTAAGCAACTTAGTGAGACCCTGTCTCAAAAAGGGCTGGGCATATAGCTCATGGTAAAACACCCCTGAGTTCAATTCTCAGCAACTGCACCTCCTCCACTCTTAAAAAAAAAAAAAAATCATGTGCCAGCCCTCAACAGCCCTCTTATAGATACTGTTTCCAGGAGGAGTGCACAGTTAGACAATAAAGGGTTGGGCTCAGGGGTAGAGTGGTAGCCTAGCACGTGCAAAGGCCAGGGTTCAAACCGCAGCACCACACACACACAAATAGGGACAAAGAGGCAGTCAAGTGCCCACTCTTTCAGTGGACTTCTATGGACTTCTATATTTGAAATCCTGGAAAGCAAGATAACATGATGCAAATGTCTAAGAGCAGAAACTGTGGGAATGGGTGAGGAAGGAAGGGTGAGACAAGTGTTTGTAGAAGAAAAACTTTTTGGAAGTGATGCTCTACAGCTGGGCTGTGAGGAAGGCAGAGTCACTTCCAAACTTTAGCCAAGAAAGAAGTGCACAATGCAAAGATCCACCAGTGTCTGGCGCTGGGGTCCTGGGTGGTTGGAGCTCAGAGCTCTTAGGTATCACCCCCAAGGGAGCAGCTGCTGGACCGCAACTGGCAAAAGGACATGCTACCCTTCCAGTGTCCCTGCCACCAACTCCCTGCTTTGTCCCACTTTTCTTAGGATTTTTGAGATATTTTAGTTTCTATTGTCTTCCGTCTTTAAGCTTCAACATTGCTTTCATTGACAAGACATGAAAGAAAGCAAACAGGGATTTTAAAGCTGGTCTGAAAGTCCTCTTGGAACCACCAAGCCCCATCAGAAGCCCAGTTCCTCCTGGCAGCTTAGCAAGTGGAAATCACTGTACTATTAAAACACTACAGTTCCAGCCCCTCCCAAGGCCAAAGGCAGTCTTTCCCTAACCCAGCCCCCGCCCCCCAGTCAGACTGCACTTTGCACTCAGAAGGCAGATTTCTTCCAACATCCCTTATTAACATTCTTTTCCTCGCAGGCTTCTCTATGGCTGGTGCAGCTGAGCTGCTCAACACAGATTTTCTGCTCTGCATGGGGGGGAGGGGGTGTTAATTATGCAGAAAGATGGAGGGAGGCCAGACAGCCCCTCTGGTGAGCTGCCTCATTCAAGCACAGCCCACTTCCTGCTGTTTTGCAGCTACAAGGATCACCTGTTGGTATTGGCACCCTGCCAAACTGGGGCCTAGCGGAAATGACAGACTCAGCTAGAAATGAGAGCCAGCTCATATTCTACCACCCCAAGGGGGGAGAGCAGTGGTGTGTGTGTGTGTGGGGGGGGGGACAGACAGACAGACAGACACACTGTGTAATAAAAATGCATAAGACTTACACAAAAGGTAACAAAACTACTCTTCTTTCTGACTGCTGAAATATAATCCCCCAAATGGACATCTGAGCCAAAACAATTTCTCCCCAGATAAAGCCCACTGACCTAAGGGAAAATGCTGGAAACCCTCTTGAACTTTACCTATACTCTCCCTGAGGTGTGAGAGTCCTGTTAATAACGGTTTCAAGAACTAATCAGGCCCAAGTACTTACAGTTCTTTAATTCACCCTTTCCTTCAAACTTTTACTGCTTTAATTACTCCCTCCTTAACCCTAAAAGCACAAGGAAATTGTTTTGTTTCATCATGGTAGATTCTACCAGTTGAAGTTTGGAGATGGACGCAGTCTCTTACTGATGCTGCTTATTGCATACATTGGTGGAGAAAAATGATGTTTGATCTGTTACCAGAATTTTCTCTAGGTGTTTGCATCTTTTAGAAAGATTTCATTCATCATAGATCAAGTTCCATAAATGGATATTTTTTTTTTATGCTGGCTTAGTAGTCTTAGGAAAAGAATCCCTTAGGAAAGGCTTAGGAAAAGAATTTCTGATTGTGGGTATATGACCAAATGATTCTAAGGTTTCTTAAGTTAGAAAGATGAATCAGGAAAGATTTTCCTCCTCAAAAGGAGCACATTAATAACCTGGAATTTACTTCATCCAAAAAAGGAGAGACCTCAAGGCATGCATTTCAGCTAATTTATTTTCTCAAAAGGATATGCAAAGGCTTTGTAAAGCTCAGTCTTTAAATTGTGCCATGTTTTGCTATGGTCTGCCTTCTTGCCACATATAGCAGCCAGGCAGGTAGAAAAAGTCAAAACCCCAGTAGGAGAAACCACCACCTAATCTGCATGTCATGCATTATTCATGACCTCCTGATTCCTGCACCTGCATCCAGGCAGGAAGCTTGCAGGGAATGTTCATTATTCTTCTCTCAGCCTCACACAGGCTCCCTTACTGCTAAAGCCACTTTGTTCTGTAACTAAGGGTTTCAGGCCTTAGGACTAACCACTGGATATGCAAAGAAAGAACACCAGGCTGAAGACAAGGGAGACCTTGGTTGTCCTGTGACATACTGGATCCTACAAAGTGCTCTACTGATAGTTCACTTCAGATGGAAATGATTACACTTGATTTGCATTAAACAGCAGACAAGTCATACCTTTAAGGGCAGGGGTACAAATTATCCTATTAATATACACTTACTCATCTGCAACATCTAGCTCTCTTGCTAAGTGTCTAAAAGTTTTTACATGTCAAAATATAAAAATGTTTCTTCCCGTGGAGTATGAACATCAAAACACCTGATTCTCAAGTCTGTGGCAACTTAAACCTAATCCTGCCACTCCAGGTAGAGCTGGGAGGAAGTGGTTAAGAGTGCAAACTATGTAACAGACTTCCTGGGATCCAAGCCCAGCTCTACCTTGACCAACAGTGTTATTTGGGCTGGGCAAGTCACTTGACCTGTCTGGGCCTCAGTTTCCTTATCTGTACAAATGGAGAAAATATAGTCAGATGCCACATAACAAGGCTTCAGTCCAAATGATGGACTGTGTGTAAAGATCACAATGGAACTGAAAAATTCCTGTTTAGTGACATCACAACCATTTTGATGTCAGAGCATAATGCACTACTCACATGTTTGTGGTGATACTGTACTGTGCTGCCAGTGGTATAAAGGCAGAGCTCACATACTCCCCTACAGTATATAATATTTGATAATGATAATAAATAATAATAAATAAATATATTACTGGTTTATATATTTACTATACTATACTTTTTTTGTTGGGGGGGGGGAGAGACCAGCAATCCCAGGGGTGTTTAACCACTGAGACATATCCCCAGTTCTTTCTTTTTTTAAAAAAACTTTTTATTGTTGTAGAGGGACATACAATATCTTTGTTTATTAATTATTTTTTTTTTCAATGTGGTGCTGAGGATCAAACCAGTGCCCCACACATGCTAGAGAAGCGCTCTGCCACTGAGCTATAGTCCCAGCCACTCTTTTTAAATTTTTGAGACAGGGTCTCGCTAAGTTGCTGAGGCTGGCCTCAAATTTGCAATCCTCCTGCCTCAGCCTCCTGAGTCACTGGGATCATAGGCTTTTGCCACCAGCTGTACTGTATTCTTATCATTATTTTAGAATGTACTTTAGTAAAACACATCAGCCTTAGACATCTCCTGTTTACCAAGTCCTAATTGCATCAGAAACCGTGTCAATGATTAACTTGCAGCACTAGGTAAAGGTGGCAAAGTAAGCTCTCTGTTCATACAATGATGACCTGATCTAAGGATACATTTCTCTGAATGTAGCCCTGGTATTAGGGAATGCATGACTGTAATGATGCCCACTTCCCAGGACTGTGAGATTTGGAATGACTTGTTAAAGTTTAGAACCATGTTTAGCACCAGGAAACAGGAGATGCATGCCACCTCTCGCCAGCAACAGCACTGAGGGGACTCCCAGCCTCCCTCCAGGGAGGGCTGGTAAGATGAAACTGGAATATCCATCTAGTTCCAGGTGACTGAGATTACAAATATGCTCTATGCATCTACAACTGGAGAGGAAAAGACAAAGAGAAATGAGCACCTACAGAACAAGATGATCTACAAACTATGGTTTATAAAGTATGGCTTATCTCTGGCATCTCATTTTTTGTCCTTTACTAGAAGACCTAGATTCTGTTTACTAAACAGCGCAGTGTTTCAGGTGTGACCCATCAAGGGACAGAATGAGAGCAATACAAACTTATACCTATTTACTGAGCCCTTCCTATATGCTTGGTATCATGTAAAATATATTAGACACTTTTTGTGATTTATCCACATATCATCATTGTCTGCATTTTATTTTTTAAGAAAATTGGGTTGGAAGAGTTAGGTGAGTTGCTAGGGTTATGCGGGGCTATTGCAGAGCAAATCTGGAACTTGTAAATACAAGTGTGTTCTCCTCCAGCATGTCATCCAGGCTGACAGACTCCCAGATACTCCCCACCCTAGCCCAGAGGGTGTGATAACATGAATTAGCACCAGGGACTCTAATGAGAGACTTAGTGTTTATTTAAGCCCAATTGAACATTCTATCATGGAAGTAGATAGAAGGTGGCAGGCACAGTTTTCTTGAACTAAAATTGCCATAGGACTAAATACAGCCATGTACTATATAACAACATATTGTCTAACAATA